TTTTAAAAAATATGACCTAAGTGAAGACAAGTTAACCTTTTCTATTATAATAACTGTATTGGGAATAATTTGTATTGGGATTTTCCCCCAAAAACTTTCCATTAAATACACACACCACTAAACTATTTAATCTTTATTTTTAATAGCTACAGGGTAAGATTATTCAGCTCTCTGAATACCCGCGAGTACACAATAAAATAACTGTTTGGCAAGGGGAAAAATGCCCTGTTGTCTTGCAGTACCAGTTGGTATTATGTAGGTTTGTTTGGTGTCTCATGTCTTATTTATAGGAGATGGCAGTTGGAAACTGGATACAAAATAAACACCAGTGTTCCAGTTTAGCTTAACCATGTATCAGATTCTTTCTCTGATTGTTTATTTTTACTTTAGGCATCTTTACTTTCTTAATTTTTCATGTAGTTTATAAAGGCGGACGTCCACCTGCTCAAGTGCGAATATTTACCTTGTGAAAGGGAAAATAAATTGCAGATAGCATTGCCAAAGGACTCTTTTTATTAGATTCTCGTTTAGGATCAAGCCCCTTTTCACTGTCAATAAAAGTAATCTACTGCGATTTGAAGTCTTTTTGATTTAGTGCAAACATCCCATGTAAAGGATTTGTAAAGGTCCTTCAGGGCAAGGGGCGGCGGTGTGGGAGATGGAGGACTCAGGGCAGGGTTTTGGGGATGTGTGTGTTGGCATTCAAGAGGCTGGAGGTTAGGGGTGTGTGAGTAAGGCTTGGGGGTCACATCTGGCATGGGCCTTTTCTCTCCCCCCAATGCCCTCTAGCCGTCAGGGTGGTTTTTTCTTCCCCCTGGGAAAAGGTTTGGGATGGGGGGCTACGTACTTGGTGTGCTGGCAGGCAAGATGATGGAGCCTCCAACCCTGCTGGTCACTCCTTTGGCCATGAGGCTGTCCCCAGTGGACACTCCGCAGGGTAGCTCTCCCCTGCAGGCTCGCTGCCCCTAGTGGGCGTTCTCATATCACATCCCTCCGAATAGCAGCCCCTCTCTTTTCATGTTATTGAAAACAGTCCTTTTCCCAGGACTTCTGGTTGTACTGGCACAACCAAACCCTGACCTTGCTTTAAGTTAGGAGAAGAGGAATCTGCATGCCAGTTTTGGTGACCCTAGCTCTTCCTATTAGGAGGAGTTGTCGAACAAACGGACTCGTACACAGACAGACAGATGCACTCTAATAGATAGATAGATAGGTATAGATAACATTTCTTATCAGAAACCCACAGGGTCTAGTTTTCTTTAAGGAAGATAAAATTGGGAGCCTTTACAGGTGGACAGGATTATCTGAACATTTCTTGAGATTGGTAGAAAATGCAGATCTTTCAGTTATCTTGCTGATGAAATATAAGGTTACCTACATTCTTTCTAAGCATCTTGGTTGCGGCAAACTTTAAGTTGCTGAGAAAGCTTGGATTCTCACAGCATTCACATGATCCAATTCCACTCCGTTACTGTTCTATATTAGATACTGTCCATTTCTTTTCCTAGCCAGCTAGGAATTTAGTAGCTTTTTTTCCACAAAGATCCAAAAATCACAAACAGTAATTTTTTAAAAAGTCTAACTTAGTAGTAATTCCAGAAAGGCAAATACCTGTATCTTGTAGATAAATTGGGATCAAAATATTTTTAATCGCATTTCAAATCAAATCACCATTGATTCTCACTTTGAAGCTGGGCCATAAATACAAACTTCTGTCATCTTACAGTGCTAACCAATAAATAGGACCATTTCTTGGCTGTGGTTTTTAGGGTCAAGCCACCAAACGTGTGAGGGAACTTTACTTACGTAAGACTCATTCTAAGCAAAAAATAATTCATTGTGCCGTCTCTATTCTATTAGAGCAAAATGGCTGCAACTCCTTTATTTAGCCTGAATTTGGGATTTGAATCCACTTTTGCCTCAAGAGTTTAGCACCACGTGATTTGTCCCCCAAAATTGAAAGTATGCTTTGACTGCAGTTTTTAATAGTTAGAAAGAGTCAAGATACAGTAAAGGCAATAAATCCCTTTCTGTTGACGGGTTATTTTATTCTGGTTTTATTTTGTGGACTTAGTTTGTAACAATCTGGCATTGTGAATTGTGCAGGCAGACTGCTGTGACTGTGTTGAGGCCCTCTGATTTAAGGATGAGGCCTCTGGCTTCAAGTCCAGAAGCTGCTCCACACAATAGAGACCCCTGCATTGAGGCAGGTCTTCAGTGGGACTGTGTTGAGACCTAGTGATCCTCTAGCATAGAGCTCATTGTGGGACTTGGCCCTCAGGAAGCATATTTTAGAAAACTTTTGCTTTTGAACTTTTTAACTTTTAAAGTATTTACCAGCTGGGTTACTTAAATTGATGTTTGAGCCCCTAAATACATAGTTTGAGTTCTCAGATGTGTTGAGCATCTGTGTCCACTGTTGAAGTCAGTGGGTAAACATTGGCCTAAATGGGGAACAAATGCAAATTTTTCTGAGTTACAAATTTTTTTATGGAAGCGCCGTTCAAAAATAGAAGCTGTAACTCTATCAAAATGAATTACATGTTAATAGTACAGGAAAGAGGACACTATTTCAATGTAGATTGTAGAAAATAACTAATAGTATAATTTATATCTGTTACTAACTCAGGACCCAATCGTATGTTCCTTATGGGACCAGAAACTCCCATGGTCCTCAGGGGACGCGGGGCTCTGTTGCCACTCATTTATCTCTATGGAATAGGATGTGTCTCACGTAACTGTACAGGAAATGGTTGCTTATTTTGTATGCGTGCAGGATGGTGGTGATGATTCTAATTTATCTAGGGCCTTTGAAACAGTGAATGGTCAATATAAGATGCTGCAGTTGTTGCTATCTGTCTACAGTTATGAAGCTTGACTTCACTTAGTGCATCTTAAGTGCTATCCATTCAGATTTTTTCCTGTCACTTATTAGACTGTGGCTGTGTCCTCTTTCAAAGCTCTTCTCTTTAATGTGCATCAAGTTACTGTGAGGTAATATGGAAACTTCAGTTGTTACGCCTGTAAATAAATATTTACATAATACATTAGGCTCAACTCCTCAATGCTGCATCCCTTGAAAAAAGGTCACTTTTGACATCATTGACTTTTTTAGAGAGCAGTGCATATGCGGCACATGACATAGATGGTTTTCAAGTAATTTCATTCTGGCAAGAGCAAGTTACTGTATTCCTGGCTGTGCCCCTTGGTAAACAAGAAGATAACTCAGGGTCAAATAGTAATAGAGAGGTAGCCGTGTTAGTCTGATCTTGCTAAAGCAAAAGGAAAAACTATGTAGCACTTTAAAGACTAACAAGATGGTTTAATAGGTGATGAGCTTTCGTGGGCCAGACCCACAAAAGTTCATCACCTATTAAACCATCTTGTTTGTCTTCAGGGTCAAATGTTATCACTTACAGTTCCTATTGGAAGGGAGCTGCGAGTATAAAAGGCAGGATCTGGATTTAAGGCACCAGTGCTTCCTGAAGTTTCTCACTTGATTAGCTGTATTTATCCGAGTAGTCCTGCTGATTCCATTGGGCTGACTCACTTCTGTAAAGTGGAACATATGCATAACTGAAGGGCCAGGCCTTTTGGTCTTTAATTTTGGACACTCTAGTGAGCACAGGAGTTTGCAGTTCTGGATGCTATACTGCATTGCTATTTCTGTTTTATCTCCTACTCCCATTATAAGGGACCAAAAAGGCACCACTCAGGTAGAAAAATTTCAAGTGAAATCTTGGCTTCCCTGAAGCCAATGAGACTTTTTTTTTTTAATTGACTTCAGGTTTTTAACCCTAGATTTCTAACATTCTGCATGTTGCACTAAAGAGGGTGTGTGTGTGTGTGTGTGTGTGTGTGTGTGTGTGTGTGCGTGTGCGCGCGCAGACAGGAGCTCTGTGTTCTTCAGTGGAATTCACCCAGGCAGGTGGGAAATCCTCTGTGGATAGTCTCCAGGAATGAAGTTTATGAAGCTATGAATTAGCTCAGCTAGCTTCTGTGAAATTAATGGGTTAACAATAGCAGTGAACTTTGCGATGAGGGGATGCTGCAGAAAATCCTAATGTTGGAAGATTTATTCTGATAGCCCCCTGTGTATCGTAGGTGCTAGCAATAACCTGAAGTCACCAGCCACAGAGTAAAATTAAAGTGGGGATTTGCTCAAATTTTTAAGGGAGATGGTCCCCACTGCGTGTTAATGTTCTACCTTTGCATATTTCCTTCTTTTTAATAGTGCAAGCAATAAGCAAATTAATCATATGCGCTATTTCTACACACACACACATAATATTTAACACCTTTTGTCACATGCTGAACCTTTCTGGATGTTTCACTATCTACCCGCTTCCAAAGATTTTGGGACAACCCCTGTAAACATTAAGCCTTTTGCTCTTGTGATGATACTACCATCAGCTTCCTTCTAAGGCCAGGGGTTACCCCAAGAGTAGTTATGAAACCATGTTTACTGCTCTGTAGCTGGTCAGGATTTCTTAGAGGGTCTTATTACACATCTCCTGTTTCTAAACTCCATATTGCCATCTAATTGTCTTGACTGTTCCTGGTTACTTGTAATCTTAATGAGCCTGTACAGAAAATACAGTGCCGTCTTTGTTCTTATAGGAGACTGGTGGTGGGAAAGGATGGAAGTTGCTGAAAACAGAAAATGTTTCTGTTTTCACTAAGCATGAAACATACTTCAGTTCTGCACTATAACTGTGTATCAGCAGTTCAACCTTTTTGCAATACATGTGAATAATTGTAGGCATCCCTTCTGGATGTCCAGTATAAAGCAGGCATTCTATACTGTTAAACCTTTAAAGGCCTTATTTTAGCGGTGAAATCGGTGTGTCTGAATCTTAGGCAGAGCTGGGATTGGATGGCAGGCTCATTGCAGACCCAGGTGGCATATACTGACAGCTCTGGGTCACATGATGGCTATTAGTGCTTGCTTTTCCACTCGCCTGCTCAGCCTGTCAGCCAGGGTTGGACTGGAGCATCCTGCAGCTTCCAAGAATGTGGAGGGGGAGGAGTCTGAGAGCAGGCTGCTTTGTTTTTCTCCCCTCTTCTTCGATCAGCCTGAATTCCTGACACATGTGGATCATGGGGGCTTAGAACTGCAGCCATAGTTGCCAGGGGATTCTGGTTATGTGGTTCAACTCATATTGGATTCGCTAAAGAAGAAGGATAGATTGAAACTGGCGTGGAGAGCCTACATTGACTGCCAAAGCAGCACTTAGCTATCAAATGAATTAGACTAATCTTCTCTCCTCCGCAGTAATATACTTGAGGAGACAAAGGAGCAGGGAAAACAGGCAACGTTTACTTTAGTAAAGCTCTCGGACTGGGCAGCAGAATGGAAGGACAGGAGATTGGTTATGAAACTATAGGACAGAGTAGATGGATCCTTATGCAGAAATCCATATTTTGCTTCTGGGATCTGCTTTCTTAAAGGCTGTATTAATGATCCAGTTGCTAGGATTAAGGTTTTTGCATTGCAGCATGGAGAGTCTTTTGTTTGAGTTAAATTCAGACCTCTCAATATGTCACCTGACAGTCGTGTGGTTTTGGATGAATATGGCTCATTGCTATTATTAACCTAGGTTGGCAGCAGGGCGTAATAGGAGTTTATAGGGATTTTGAAAAGTGGATCTGCGTGGGGAGACAAAGATGCTTCTCAGGTATGATCAATACATTATTGACGTTATTTTTACAATTTGGTTATTAACTTTCTTAACAATAGATTTGCTTCCTTAAGACTTTTTTGTAGAAATGTCATGCTTTCTAAAATATATATAGGCGTATATTTGATAATGCCTATAGCTGTACATGGAGTGGCACTATTCTGCATTTTTAAAACACCCTAAAATAATTCCATCTGCTGTAAGTTTGCAAAGACTAATGCTGATGTGCTAAAATAATGTGAATGGTTGTGTTCAGTGCTATTGAATTTAATCTGAAGGGACTCTTCTTGCTTTGTGAGTGTGTGGTTTTTATATATATATATATAAATATATATATATTGTGTGTGTGTGTATATATATATATATATATATATATACACACACACACAATATATATATAAGCGTTTTCCAAAAGAACAAATTAGGGAAAGTGTGTGTATTTGTAAATCCTCTAAAAACTGAACAGGTGTTTTCTGGAATGGCATGACTTAAATATGCCCACAAATCTACTTCTAGGAATTGCTAGTGTTGTCTTTAAAGTCTTGATTGCTGGAAGTTAAGTTGTAAAGATGGTCAAAATATTTAATACTTTTTTACAAACCTTCTAGAATATTTATTTTCACAGTCTCACAATGCTTTCAAGTTATTGTGTTCATTATACTATGGCTATGTATGGCTATATTATGTGTTTGTATTCTGTGTACTTTTGCTCAGAGGCCAGCAAAGAAGAACTAAGTCCCTGTTTAAAAAAAGGCATTTGGAGCACATTGGAGTTTAAAGTGTGAAATAGGCATCCAAGTGAGAGCTGAATGGCTAAGCAGAGGCAAGTGACTAACAGGTGGGAGTTAAAAATGAAAACAAACTAAGTTAGTTTAGTTTGGGAATCCGACAGCACATTAGAATTTAGAGTCAGGACTAATAAAGGTAGAATCCAGCTGAAGTTTAGGTCTCGGTTTATTGTACAAAGTGCAGAATGTCACATTGCTTTTTATGTGGCCAAATGTGCACAGTGCAAGCAACTCAAGGATCCCCTAGAATGGGTATTACAGTTACTCAAGAGTGAGAACTGCTAAACTGGTAGATCAATGAGACAGATTTATAGATGTGACACAAAGCTGGCATTTGCAGCCTGCAGCTGTGCCCTTCTTCCCTCGAGGGTTTGGCAAACTCAGAAATATAGAAGAGCAAGACTCAGCTTTAGTGTTAAAAGAAAAGTCAGCTTCTAGTTCTATTCCATGTGGCAAGCCTTGAAACTGCAAGCTCTTTGAACCAATGGTTAGGGATGCAAGCTTGTCAATGATCCAGCCTTAAAGATCATAGGTTATTCCCTGGCAGCCATCCATCTCCAGCGATGACCGACCCCTTGATTGTGGGAAGATCCCAGGCCGAGTTCACAGTTGTAGGAGGCAGTGTCAACCAGGGCACTAGAATAAGCTCCCCGCCAATCAGCTGACACTGACTTGTGGTCTTGTTAAATCACATAGGTCAGAATTTTCTCTGTGCAATTGGGTCATACATCCTCTTCCAGTGGACTCAGACTGTTACGGATAACTGCACCTTGCACAACTTTTCTAAATATTGGTCCTGTGATTGCACTAGCAATGGAATATCCTCTTCTTCCTTTCTTCATGTGCAACTACAAGGCTATATTATTTTGCAAAAATCTAA